TTGCCGCCAGCATATCTCACCTCCAGCCACAGGGCAGTCTTCTCCTATCTCAGAATAGAATGAATGTACAACCGGGTTTTATACCAAGTCATTCCATTCCCAGGGGCATGCAGGAGACAGAGGCCTTCCTCTTATCCCAATCGCAAGAGGCCTTCCTCTTTTACTAATCCTTCTCAGCACAGACCCTTCACGGGTGTCGGGCTGGGGGATGGTTAGGTCTTTCACGTCCCATGAGGCCATATCTCAGGCTGTCTCAGTGGGGAGAAACCTTGGACGATACCCAGCTTTCCTGGGCAAAGGTGCCTGCAGCTTTCTGCAGTGCATTGTGCCCCTGGTTAATTGAGAATGGAGAATGGTGATGACTTTTACCCAGCATACTGCCTGTAAACATATTGTTAACAAGGCACATCCTGCACAGCCCTAGATCCCTTAAACCTTGATTCCGTACAACACACGTTTCTGTGAGCACAGGGTTGGGGCTAAAGTTACAGATTAACAGCATCTCAAGGCAAAACAATTGTTCAGGGTACAGATCAAAATGGAGTTTCTTATGTCTCCCTTTTCTACATAGACACAGTAACAGTCTGATCTTTCTTTCTTTTCCCTATACTTAACCTGCTCCTCAGTCACCCCTAGGGAGAACAATGTTCACTGGCTTCTGATTTGTCCTTGCCATTTTTATTGTGGAAAGAAGCAAATATGTGTTTCTGGTACATTCTGATTTCCCCTTTTTTCTCACACAGTAGGTAGTGCAGTCTCTCCAGTGCTCTGAATCTTGCTTTTATCACTTGTGCACACCAGGTGGCAAATATATTCCTTATTTTTTATGGCTGCATACATTGTGTGGATGGACTATAGTTTATTTGATCAGTCCCCTATGGGTAGGCATTGGTCTGACTCTAATCAATCATGTTGTTGCTATCTGCTAGTTGTCTTCTTAACTTTTTTAAATATAATTATGGGTTCACAGGTAGTTGCAAAAGTAGTAGAGGGAATCTCTTGGATGACTCACTTGGCTTCCCCTAACAGTGCCGTCTCACAGAACAGCAGGACACCATCCAACCAGGCATTCGCATTGGTTGACTATTGTTAAGACTACCAACCTTATCAGACTGTGGACCTTATGCAGCCTTCAGTGTTTATATGCACTCTGAATATAAGTGTGTGTGTGTGTGTGTGTGTGTGTATGTGTGTGTGTGTTTTCTATGCATGGTGATCTCATGTGTAGTATCTTGTAACCATCTCCACCCCTGCCATTGCCACAGAACTGTTTCCTCACTGAGTAGAACTCACCTCCCTTGTCATTCTTCTTTTGAGTCACATCCCCACACATTGCCCCTGTGTCCCTGGCAGCCACAAATCTGTTCTCTGTTCTCCATCTCTAGTTTTGTCATATGGAGGATGTTATGTTCGTGGAACCGTGTAGTGTGTAACCTTTTATAAGACTGGCCTTTTCCACCAAGTTTCCTGCTGTTCTGATCCTCCAGGTTGTGGCCTGTATCAGTGGTTGATTTATTTTTACTCCTGGGTGGTATTCTCTTGTACAGATATCCTAGAGTTTGTTGACTCCTTCACCATTGAAAGATGTTTGGGTGGTTTCCACTGTGAGGCTATTCTGAATAAAGCTCTTAGGAACATGCATGTACAGATTTTTGTGAACCTGAATTTTCATTCTTTGGGGTAAATGCCAAAGAATACAGTTACTGAGTCACATGGGAAGTACATGTTTGGTTTTTTAAGAAACTGCCAAATTCTTTTCTAAAGTGGCTGTACCATTTTTCAGTCACACTGGCGATGTATGAGATGTTCAGTTTTCTTGCTTTCCTGCTAGCACTTGGTGTTATTTTTTATCTTACCCATTCTAACTGGCATAGTGAGAGCTCATTGTGGTTTTAATGTGCATTTCTCTAATGGCCAGTGGTGCTGACCATATTTACATGTGCACATTTGCTGTTCAGCTACTTTGGTGAAATGTCTGTCGATGTCTTTTGTCTCATTTCTCATGGGATTTTTAAAAAATGTATTGAGTTTTGAGAGTTCTTCATAGATTCCAGATAAAAGTCCTCTGTTGGATATGTGGTTGCGGTTATTTTCACTCGGTCTGCAGTGTGTCTTTTCATCCTCTCAATACGATGCTTCACAGAGCAAAAGGCCTCCATTTTCATGAAGCCCATTTTATCAGTTTTTATTTCTATAAATTATTATTTTGGTGCCATCTCTAAGAACTGGGTGTTGAATATTTCCATGTTTTTCCTTACTCACTAGAGTCTTCTTTCTACGTGAGAGGAAAAGGAGTTGCCTCTGCTACTCCTCCCATCCTGTTCCTGAGAAGAAAACACTGAACCCCCAGAAGCTGCGTGCTGTGCTGACCTGGCTGCCACTCTCCCCACACTCCCTGGTGTGAGGAGGCTTGGTGCTCCCTCCCACCACCTCCAGCCGCACCTTTCCTTTCTGCAAAAACCTACAACGCTGTTCTCACTCTGAAGTTGTTTCAAGAAGCTTCTAAAACAGTGTCTCAAACTTCTGTGAATTCTTCCCACAGTCATAAAGACATTTCACAAGAAGACCCCCTAGATACTCACATCTTTACCCACAGTCATAAAGATGTTTCACAGGGAGACCCTCTAGATACTCACATCTTTATCAATTTAGCAAATGTTTCACAGCACAGCACTTACCTTTGTGACATGTGATGCACACTGATAGTTTGTATTGTGCTACACTGCGCTATTCTTTTAAAAGCCAGTCATAGCTGACCAAATGGATGTCACCACTTTCTAACACATCTAGGTCTGCAACTAAAATACTCCAAATATTCCAGCAAGGACCAAAAATCTCAGGCCTAGATTTGCCAACAGTGCCCTTTTCTGGGCAGCTTTATTATAAGCAGTGTCTTGAAACACTTGTGTGATTGTCAATATATGTATGTGTGCACTGAGTCTCACCAGAAAATATATCTATGTCTGCTGGTTACAGTCTAAAATGTTTAAGAAACCATGTTTAAAAGTTTTCCTAGTCAGGAAAGGCCAAATAAAAAGGGTATCGTGTGTGTGAGTAATGGGGGCTCTCATTTCACTAAGGAGATGACAGAGGCTGTGCAGATGTTTTTCTCTGTGATCTCCTCTCCTCCTACAAATCATGCCCAGAGGAGGGATCTCAGGGGTCTCCCCCTGCCTCTCCACACCCTTCCCCATACCCAGGTCGGCCTGGGCAGAGGGCAGCAGAGCTCACATCTGTGTGGAGAGCAGCCGTGCACTTTACCCAAGTGGTGAAGGAAGGCCTGGGGGGGCACCACCTGGGAGGCAGCATGAAGCGGGTAAGGACACCTGCCCCAGCCTCTTGTGCCCTAGGTGTTGGGATGAGACAGGGCCTGGGGAGAGATGCACCATCAGTCCTGTTGTCTCCTGGGGCCCCAAGTCAGAAAGGGTCAGCTCAGGTGGGCGCATTGGTGTCCACTAGGTGGTACTGCTGTCCTGTCTCACTGCTGTGCCTTTGAGGCACGGGATTGCACTTCTCCCAGAGAAAGCTGTTCTGTGGTATCAAACTCTCAGTGAGGTGCCTCAGTGCCACTCTCCTCCTGCACGTCATCCCCTGCACTCCCCAGCTCAGAGCCCCAGCCAGGGGCCCCCAAGAAAGGCGCTGGTGGAGAACCTGCGCATGAAGGCTGCCAACCGGTCCATAGGCAAGCCTGGCTGCCTCCGGCTGGGTGGACAGACGGGGGTTGGAGAAGGGGAGAAGAGGAAAGGGGGGCTGCCTGCCCTGTCTCCCACCTGAGGCTGAGGAAGGGGAGGAAGATGACATGGAAATGTGCTGTTGGGGAGGCAGCTGTGACTCAAAGCCTGAGCCTCCGTTCCCACAAAGGCAGGACCATCAGGCACCGAAGGGATTCTGCCAGCATAGTGTTCCTGGACCAATGACACACCCGGCCCTGTCCTGGCCAAGCTGCCAGCCTGGATCTGAGCCCTCGTGCAGGTCAGTGCCACCTTTGGTTCGGCCATTGCTGCTGTGTGGAAGTTCAGTCCTGCCTTTTCCTTTCCCGAGAGCCTCCACCACCCCGAGATGGCATTTCTCACTGCCTTCTGTCTGCCCAGTTTCACCAGAAGTCGGCCTCTTCCTGACAGGCAACTGCACCACTGCCTGGTGCTGCGCCGCCTTTGCTCTGCCCACTGGAGACAGTGTCTGTCATGGGCCTGGTCTGCAGGGATCGCGCTACAAAGGTGAAACCCAGGAGAGTGTGGAGTCCAGAGTGCTGCCAGGACCCAGACACAAGCATTAGTGCCCACTGGAGAAAGCAAGTGAACCCCGAAGAAATGGTAGGTCTGGGCCATCCTTGAGGTCTTCCCAGGGCAGCTCCCCTCTGTGGAATCGAATCTATCTTCCATCCTGCATGGCTGAGGGCCAGGCTTCTCACTGGGCCTCTGCAGGAGGCTGCCTTTTCTGTCCTGCCCACCTTCTTAGAGGCGAGATGGAGCAGACGCATCTGCTTCTGCCATTTCTATGATAACTACAGTTAGCTGCCCTGGACTGTTCACCCTCCAGTCTCAATTTAGAAAGATCCGCATGGCCACAGGGCTCCTGCCCGGGGTGCTTGTCACTTTCCCCACCTTCTTCCTGAGTCACTCCTGCAGCCCTGCTCCCTAACCTGCCCCACAGCCCTGCCTGGATTTGTATCTCCCTGGCTTGGTGCCAGTTCCTCCAAGTCGATGGCACCTCCCTCCCTCTCAACTACTTGAGCCAACTCCAAGACACCTTCTACTCCAACACCAGCAATGGTGCCAAGGGCCATTAGGCTCTCAGCATGACTATTTTTAGAGACCCCGTGTCTGTCACTGAAAGCTTTTTTCTGTGGGAGACTATTCCTCCCGCCTGCAACAGCTGCCCCTGCTGACTGCACCTCTCTCCTCCCTCTGACCCCAGAGAAATGGGTCAGCTGGGATCTTCCGCCCCCATTGCCTAGGGACCAACGGGCAGAAGGAGTCACTGACCCCCAGACGTTTGCATCCTGCACAACTAGAGGTCCTTTATTAAAAGCACGCTGTTGGTTTCTGCTCAGTTCCTTATTGATTTGTGTCCTGCTTTCTCTGGAAGCCTCCTTAGAGAAGAGAAGAACACACTGGTACAGGCTGGGTGGAGCCGCCCCCTGTGGAGCACAGGCAGATAGAAGCCCCCGCCCCAGCCGTGTGGCCTCAGGCCAGCCTTCCGCTCCTTGCAGGTGGTCTCCGCACAGTGCTGGTTCCATCACCACCCGCTCCCAGGGAAGCTGGTCTCAGCGGGTTGTCCTGGCTGTGTCCATGTCAGAGCAACAGCCCAAGTCTGGGTCTGGGGGAGGAAGGTGTCATGGAGCCCCCTAGGATTCCCAGTCGTCCTCATCCTCCTCTGCCTGCGGCTGCTGCGGTGGTGGCAGAGGAGGAATGGAGTCTGACACGCGGGCAAAGGCTCCTCCGGGCCCCTCACCAGCCCCGGGTCCTTTCCCAGAGATGCCTGGAGGGAAAAGGCTGAGTGAGGGTGGTTGGTGGGAAACCCTGGTTCTCCCATCCCCCCGAGACTTAAATACAGGAAGAAAAAGGCAGGAGAGAATTACAATGGGCCGGCCCAGGGTGGGCAGCGGCCCTGCCTCCTACCCTTGCGCCTCATGACCAGCTTGTTGAAAAGATCCGACATCAGGTCCCCACCTTGGCTCGTGGCTCCCACTGCAACGGGAAAGCCATAGACTAGGGTGAAGAGTTCAGTCACAGGCGACCCGTGGCTCCCTGTCCCCACCCGTGACACTCCCCAGCCCTCCAAGGCCACCGTGCTTCCCAGTTAGCTTGGAGCCTCAGTCTACACTGACCCAGCACCAGGCACTGATGAGAAAGTGGTTATGTCTGAGAAGCACTCTCCCAGCCACCTCAGGGACAGGACCAGGGTGTGCAGCACTGACGGATGGGGAAACTGGCCCAGAGAGGTGAGGCAGCTTGCCTGGGGTCACAGAGCAAGGCAAAAGCAGCGCTGGGTACAAGCTCAAAACCACAGTGCCCAGGGCACTGCTGCCGTACACACAGGCATCGCATCACACCAGTGTCTGGGTTCGCAGCAGGCATCATCAGTAGCCTCAAGAGGCCTCAGGTCCAGTCTCTAAAAATATCTCAGGAGGCTGCGGGGGCTGACCATTGCCTTGGACCACTCAGCAGTCGAAGAAGATTCTCCTTGTCACAGTTGGAGCTGGGTGCGCTTACAGAGGAGAGCTCCACTATGGCTCCGAAACCAGGAAGGAGCCGTGGCCCCGGCGGGAGGGCTGAGGACCTCTGTTGGCGGGCCAGGGCGTCCAGCCTGTGCCCTAGGGGAAGCAGGGGCCTGCTGGCAGGGGGTGGGCAGGAAACAGCCAGTGGACTCAGGGCTGGAGGAGAGGAGGCCATCTTGCCCAAGGCCCTCCGACCACAGGCTCCAGGGCCCGCTCACCTTGCTCCTGCTCCTTCTGCTTCTTCTTCTCCAGCTTTCGCTCCTTCACGCTGCGCAGTTTGGCCTTGCCGATGCCCCCGGCTTGGCGGATGGACTCCAGCAGAGTGGCCCGGCCACCAGAGGGGTCGACCACTTCCTTGGGAGCTCCCTGGACTGGGGCTGGGAGGTGGGGAACGGGGCAAGGAGAAAAGGCTGCTCAGGCAGGCCTGGGGAAGCTTATTGTGCCAAGAGCCTGCTGGGAGGGAAGGCACCTCCCCTCAAACGAGGAGCCCCGTGCTGGGGAGGCTGCACCTTTGGAGACTGTGTAGGGCCTGGGCACTGACTTCTGCAACCACCTGAGTACAGGCATCCTGTGTGCGACACTCCCTGCTCCCTCTCCAGCCCCCACCCTGCAGAGCTGGACAGTCTCAGTGGCACACATGAGCCAGCAGAGGGGTTCTGTGCCACTTCTGGATGCTAGGGATAGACTGGGAGATAGAACAATAAAGCTGAAATGTTGTAATTTCAGTGACACTGAAAAATGTGTTGCTGTAGTTTGTTATTAGACCCCTTCTTTCCATTGGTTTAACTAGGAATGGGGAACCCAGAGCCTCACTTGTTCAGGCTCCCTGCGCACTAGAGGTGAGAATTCCAGAGCTCTACAGCTTGAAAACTACTATTTTATGGACCAAGTAGAACAAGATATTTGAAATGGGAACTATTCAAAAAATCGAGGATTTCTGACCACTGAACAAACCCGCAGAAAATCCACCTGAGTGCACAGAGCACACCAGAAATGAGCTGCTCCCACCTGAAGGAGACGCGCTGCTGCTGTTGTCCTGCCTGGCGCCTTGGCCTACAGGGGCCGCCGTTGAGGGTGGGAGTGGGGGTGCACTGGCCAGCACCTCAGGAGCTGGGGGAGGTGGTGGGGGCGGTGGAGGTGGTGGGGGTGCCGTTAGTACCCCATCTTGTAGGTCTGAAACACAAAGTGTGGGGTGTCTAGGGAAGAAGGTATGTGAGCAGGGAGGTCCCTAGCCCAGCCCTCATCCCAGAGCCCAGCTCACCTGTCTTGAGAGGCTCAGCTACCTCAGTGTGGAAGGTGGGCAGTTCTGGAATGGTGCCAGGGGCAGAGGGGGCAATGCCAGGGCCCAGGTCGGCACTGTACATGAGGTCGTTGGCAATGCCGGGCAGGTCAGGCAGGTAGGATGGCACATCAATCTCAGGCACCTGGCCCAGGTCTGGCACATAGAAGTAGTTCTCTGGGACCTGCAAGATTAGGTAGGGACATGTGAGTGGTGACAGGGACCTGCAGGGGCAGCCAACAAGACCTTGTGTGCACCCCCCATGGGTGGAATAAGGGGCTCAACAGCCTTGCCTGGAGAGGAGCCCTGGCCACTGCACCTGTCCCCACCCCTGCCCCGCCCCTCCCACCTGCTGTTCCAGCTGCTCTCTCTTGCTGATGGACAAGGGGGCATCAAACAGCTTCTCCTCTGTCTCCGCCCCCAGCATCACATGGGTCTTTGTTACAGCACCAGCCAGGGGGTCCAGGAAGACATACTTCTTGTACCTACAGGGGTGACATGGGGGTCAGGCAAGCTGACACCTGCTGTCCTGAGCCCATGTTCCTGACCTACCTCTCCACATCATCAGGGGCACAGTGTGCACTGTGGGGTCCCAGGCCTCCCAAGCCAAGCCACCCCAGTCACCCCTGGCTCCTGGCCTATGTGCTGTACCTGTGTCTCATGCCCTGGGTCCCCACTAAGCCAGGCTGGGCCTCCCGCCCACACCCCTCGGCCCTGCCTTCTGGCCATACAGGTTCTCGGTGGTGTTGAAGAGCAGCAAGGAGCTGACAGAGCTGATGTTGCTGGGAAGACCCCCAAGTCCCTCTTCGGCGTCGTCCTCAGGCTCCAGCTTGGCGCTCACACACACAGGAAAGTACTTCAGCTTCTCCTGGGAGGGCCAGGATGGCCAAGGGATGGTGAATATTTACTGCTGGGCCTAATCAGCTGCCACCCCATCCCAGTCAGCCTCCTCCGGGGGACAGAACCCTACGGTGGCCCCGGCTCCTCCCCAGTATCCAGTCCTCCTGGTGTGACCCGGGCTATGTTATGTGCGTGGCCAGCAGACCTGCAGGGCCCGCTCGTCCAGGGGGCGGTGCTTGCTCTGGATCCTGTGGCGGGGGCGTCTCTGCAGGCCAGGGTCCTGGGCGCCTGTGAAGATGGAGCCATATTCCTGCAGGCGCTCTGGAGCAGGGTACTTGGCACTGGAGAACACCTGTGGACACAGGGACAAGTCTGAGGGGCCCCAAGAGGCTCAGGGGGCTAGGATTGCTTGGCAGGAGAGGGTGGGGTTGGGAGCCTGGGCAGGAGGAAAGTGCAAGGTACAGGTGGACAGCAAGGCAGAGACTGGGCAGCCTCAGAGGTACGGGGAAATGGAGGGACTGCCCAGTAGCCTTAGGACACAGGGGCATGGGGGCTACCTTGATGGCCTTCTTGCTGCCCTTGATCTTCTCAATCTTGGCCTGGGCCAAGGAGACCTTCTCTCCAATGGCCTGCACCTGGCTCCGGCTCTGCTCTACCCGCTGGGAGATCCTGCCACGGAGAAGATCACAGAGGCTGGGGCTGCTCCCCACCCCCTGCACACCTCCTGCTCCTAACAGCAGGCCTGCCAGGCCAGGCCTTCAGGCAAGGGCTCCTAAGTCAGGGTCACCTGCTTGCCAGGGCCCATCTTGGTACCATCCATGTGGCCTCTACAAGGATAATCTGACCTGCAGGGTCGAGGAGCTGACGGTACTGAGTTCCCCGCACTCTCAGCAGGGACAGACCCTATGCTGGCACCTGTACATGCTATCTGAAGGACAGCCTCCAGGGCACACAGAGGATGGTATTTACACATGCACACATGGCTACTGATGGGGCAAGCATTTCACAACCCCTCATGATCACGTGAAGCAGACAAAGTGGCCTCTGCAGAGGGGGAATCGAGACCGGAGGCTGGACTGGCAAGGCTGGACCTAAATTCAGACAGGGAACTGCCCCTGCACAGTGAACGGCTCACTGAGCAAACCCTGAGTCCTGACCACGGCCCATGGGCTCTGTGTGGTGTAGCTCCTCACCCGCTCCCATCCTCCCTGGTGCGGGTGGGCCCAGTGATACCAGCTGCCCTGCTGTCCCCCAGATGTACCAAGTGCATTCCTGTGTGCTTGCATCTCATGGAACGCCATTTCCCCAGACATCCCTGTGGCTGGCTCCCGGTGCCCGAGGCCCGGATGCCTGATGCTTTGAGGCACACAACCCCACTCATGCTTTTCCATGTTCTATGGCCACAGCAAGGCCGCTCTCACTGCAAAGTTAACTCTGATGTGTATGTAACACAACATCCTCCTCCCAGTCGCCCCTGTAGCTCTGCTACCTCCAAAAACCCAGCCCTTGCCCACAAGGGCCACACTCCACATTCAGAGCAGCCTCAGCATCCACCTGGCACGCACGAGCCTGTGTGATGCACAGGAATGAGAAGGCAGAGGCGCAACTGGGGTTCATGAGGAAAGGTAGGAGGATGTGGGGTGGTAGAGGGGTTGCAGACTCTGGGCTAGGGAATGCTGGGATTTCTCTAAAGGTTGGAATGAATGGCCTAGAATTGGACCCTAAAAGCCAAAGCCACCTCCACCAACTTTAGAAGGCCTTGGCCCCCAGAGAGCCAATTTCACAATCCAGGAGTCCCCGTGCCCTAATGAGTCTGCCCTGATTACTCCTGGCTCCTCGTGTGCAGGGCGCTCAGGCATGGCAGGGCTGGGAGTACCAGCAGGCACCCAAGCAGCTTAAGTGTTCCATGACAGACTGGTATGAAGGTGGCCACAACTCAGAAAGAAAAAAGAAAAGCACCATCTCCTTCCAGTGAGAAAGTGGGGCCCTACCCAGCGTGTGCTCCATCTTTTCTGGCTGGGGAGAGGCCTTCATCTGCTGTTAAGGGTCCTCCAGCACAAGCTGTTTTAATTTACCCTAGTTCCCAAGGCAGCCTCGTTCTGCCCCTGGGTGTTGACACGACCTTCAGAAGTTGCATAAGCTCTGCACTCGAGATCCACAGGGGCAGTGGGAGGGAACTGAGACTGGGGAGGGACAAAGGCTGCTCTGTCCTGGTGCTCCCACAGAGGAGAGAAGGGCTGATCACTCAAAGTTGCAAACACCAACTCCAACAATGAGCCCTGAAAAAATTTCTGGAGTGGATTTTTTTTTTTTTTTTTGAGACGGAGTCTCGCTGTGTCTCCCAGGCTGCAGTGCAGTGGCGTGATCTCGGCTCACTGCAAGCTCCGCCTCCCGGGTTCACGCCATTCTCCCGCCTCAGCCTCCCAAGTAGCTGAGACTACAGGCGCCTGCCACCACGCCCAGCTAGTTTTTTTTGTATTTTTAGTAGAGACGGGGTTTCACCATGTTAGCCAGGATAGTCTCGATCTCCTGACCTCGTGATCCACCCGCCTCGTCCTCCCAAAGTGCTGGGATTACAGGCTTGAGCCACCGCGCCCGGCCTCTGGAATGGATTATTAAACAGAGGATCTGTAAGCACTTAGAAAAGGCAGCGGTGAGTCCCAGGGGCCAGCACGGCTCGAAATGCACAGCGTTTCTCTCTGTAACAGGGTTATGAGCCTGCTGTACCCGGGGAAAACTTGCAGCACAGTGCATCTTGAGTCAGCACGGATTTTGACGGCTTCTAACAAAATCTTGAAGACAAGATGGAGCTATGGGGGTTGGAGGAGAGAACATACAGGAAAAATCAGAGCCAAATGAACCATGGCCCCAAAGGGCACCGTTGAACAATGGACTGATTCCAGCCTTGCACGGAGGGACCTGGCAGAGTCCATCCAGTTCATTCAACACCCGGTTAGAAAACTGGGCCAGCACATAGGGGAAGGGTAAACTCGTCTGCATGATCGAATCAAGGCTCAGATAATTTTTGAAGGCCAGAGGGTAGACTGCAATCACCAAGACGAAATTTACAAGGAACAAGTGTGAAGCCCAACATCTAGGTTTTAAAAAGTGCATAAATATAGAAGGTGGAAGGAACTTGGTTTAGACACAGTTCAGGTGAAGAAAGACCTGGAAGCTTCTGTTAACTATAAGCTCAGTAGGAGCTAAAAGCATGTTAATTAGCATAAAAAGGCAATGCGATCTTAGGGCACACAGCTCCCCGTCCCTCTTCCGCCCTTCATCCTTCTTTGAATCAGCAGGGACTGTGCACTCTCTTAGAGGCACGACAGAAAACAGAGTCCTGGAATCATGAACGAATCCATGCCAGGCACCAGTCTCGGCCAGTCACATCTCTTTAAACTGAATCCACACTGTAAGAGGACTCTGAACTTGCCTGCAGCCTGCAAAGTCTGTCTCATTCACTGCTGTGTCCAGCATCCGGGACGGGGCCTGATGTGTCACAGCCGCTGGCTGAACAGAAAGTGACAAATGAGCAAACATCTCAGGGAGGGTGATAAGGATGGTGATGAGTGAGAAACTCCCGACATATGAAGATAACTGAAGGATGTTCTGACTAAGGATCAGAAGACTTTGAGAATATGATCATTCCCTCCGAATATCAAAAATATCAGAAGGGCCGTCAGGTGGAGAAGTGAGTACACTGACATCAGGAATTGTGGGCAGAGTTGCAAGGAAACAGATCTCTGTTCTGTTAAAAAAAAATTCTAATAAACAACTGCATCACTTTGCAGAGCAATTAGGTTGCAGCTCACAAGCGCCTTCCAGGGGTGCCCCAAGGGCGAATCCTGGATAAGGTGGAGGTGGAGACATGATCCTGGGGCTCTCTCCTTAGCCAAGAGTCCATGAGACTAAGGAACTTGTGCTTGTTGACAAAGCCCCCAACAGTCTCTTCTCTTATGGTCACAGGCTATAGTGCCGAGGACGATGCAGACTCAGGATCAGAAAGCTTGCAGCATATCTGCTATCCCCATGGACTAGCCGGATGGTCTGGAAGGCTGTGTCGGGAAGGCCTGTAGGCCTCACTGGGGCCAGGCCATGGAACAATGTCCACCCTGCGGGTGGGGGGATGGTGCCATGAGAGCCGTTTGTCATTCCTGGTCCAGACACCTTTGGCTTGGTGGCCGACTTCAAGGTAGGTCAGTTTACAAGCTCAGTGCTGAAGCCACACCTATGGCTCACCCAGCACTACATAGGAAGCTGCCTCTGGATATCAGGGATGGAAGGGGCTCACCCAGCCTGTTCTGCCCGTGGTCTCACTAAGGGTCCGTCTTCCTCTAGCTGCCCTGGAGGGGACCATCTCCAAGCATCCCTTGCTTTCCTTCTCCCCCCTCCACCCCTGCTTTCCTTCTCCCCCCTCCACCCCTGCTTTCCTTCTCCCCCTCCATTCCTGCTTTCCTTCTCCCCCCTCCACCCCGGCTTTCCTTCTCCCCCCCC